TATTACGTGATTGTCAAGTTATGACAATGCTTTATGACGATATCCTGAAACTATTATGTTTAACTAGTTATAGTGTTGATTAAGGATTAGTCAGTGGAAAAATAGGTATTGTTGCTTTGCTTTAGGTGATTCGAAGTTATCAGAAATTTAGAACGTTAAAGAATCCAAGACGCCTAATCTAATTATAAATTTCAATTCAGAAATATTCGTCGTGTTAATTCTAGTAGGCTACGGAGTTTTGATTTTAAACGTTTGTTTAGCCAACAGCTACTTGGGGATTTAGTTATTTTACTAGTGCAGTTGATAGTACCTAAATTTTTAATCTTATTATCTAAACTATGTTCGCATTTTAGGCTGCTAATATGATAAACCAATCCATAAACCCAAATACGATTAGCAACAACGACTATGATGGGTTTATTGATAAATGTTAAAGGCGATCCAAATGATTTCTAAATTTAGAAGACATGGAGATATAGTGTAACGTATGTATGGGCCAGGTTAACATGCAGGTTGTTGACGTATATGACGATTTAAAAATAATGAACATGACCAGAAAATAGTTTTAAAGTTAAGACTGCTTGTGAAACTTCAGGCAGGAATATGATGCGTTATAAACATTCCATAAGGAGTTACTGCATTTAGCCTAGGGACACTTACAAATATATAGCAAAAGGAACCGGAAAACATATACATGTTAAGTACAAAAAAAATCATCCAGTAAAATAGCTGAACTCGCCTTGATTATTTTTGAAAATTAGATTATTCAGTGGACGACATATATAACGCCATTCGTGAGTAGTATTGATCCAAAAGCATCCAGAATAAAACATGCAGTATGGCAATTAATTCCAGGGTGCTCGATGCTGTTGAGGTTTTTTACACTCGCTCGGATCAGAACAATCGAATGAATCCAGATAATTGTATGGTTGTCATTGAACGAACCATCTAAAAATGATTGCAGAAAACTTATAGCTGAAACTCACCGTATGTTTTTGGAGTAGTCATCCTCGTTGTTTGGCAATGGAACTCGAGAATATGAAATTAGGCAGGCAGTGGTCGGAAGAAAAGATATTACAGGATAGTGCATCGTTTAAAACAGGATGAGGTGTTAAGTGAAGGAACACAGAATTAGATCCAAAGAACTATTTAGTCCTTGATCGCATTGTTAGTCAATGTATATTTACGCTATTTACAGGTCATATTTGCTAGAGCTTGATGTTTAAACAAGACTATGTCGCTGAAGCATGTAAATGCTATTACAGCTTGTTAACAAACCATCAAAGCTAATTAGTTAATATAGACGACCAGTTTTTATTATCGATTGAGCTAGTTTGTCATGAGTACTAATCAATATAACATTACGATAATGCATGTGAGCATTAATCAGAGGACCATTAGAATACAGTGTTAACATAAATATAAAATCGATCGAGAAAGTTGAAGTGGAAATAAGGATTAATAATAATAGGTTGCGTTTCTTTAGTTGGGCTCACCAATGTAGAATTATGATCTACTATGATATTAGTACTGCTCTAATAATAGACCTAATCCCAAAATTGTAGATTCGTCATGATATAACTGCCTAATCTATAAGATCTTACGTGGAAGTCACACCATCGACTACACCAACTCACTGTATCGTATCAATTACCAATACATGATGAGGAATAAGGTTAGGCTAGAGAAAGAACAATATATTTAATATGAATAGAAGATATACAGTAACACTGAGATGGACCACGCCTGCATGGACGAGCCATGCCACTCGATCAACTCCAGTCCATTCAATTCATTGTTCGCGCCTTCTCCATTCTTAGGTATTTATCCGCGTTAAATATTGAATATCTATTTTCTGAGTAGTCTCGTGTTCAGCTTTGTGGATTGTGTGGCTATTGTCCAATGCCACTACATATGCATCAGATCTTGAATTTTGGCGAGAAATACACTCATTCATCTGGCTGAATACCATTTCAGCATTAAATCTGGTGTCAGTTCGTGATGAAAACATAGTCTCATCAAATCACCTTTTACATGGAGATGCATAAAAATGAATAGTATGAGTAAACAACAATATGCTACTTTTTACAGCTTTAATAAAATACTGCATCTTCAGTCTTGTGATGTCATACGTATGTAGGGCCAGTAGAATGTCACTGAGCCCTAATCAAGTCATCTGGCAGTTGGGTCACTGAATGTCGAACAGTTCGTCGATCACCGTCAAGATCAAGGACAAACAACGCACACCAGTTAATCGTATGCCATGGACTGATACATGCAGTGGTGGTCACACCATCTCTGTGCCCGTTCTTACTAATATGTTTCCGTAATAACATTCTCTGTGTTATACGGTCTTCAAAGCAGCCGTAGTACATTGATGCGATGAAGAGGTAATCCACGTTAGGTTCTGACCGCGAGGTGTGACTTCGAAGTTAGCCAGTTCACTGTACCATTCCCGTCTAACTTTAGCAGGCCCCCAGTCATTCCACATATATCAGCTACGTTGGTGGTTCACACATATAATTATATTAGTATTCAAGATCTGTTATTTATATACATTGATGGAGAATATAGGTCGTCTTTCACGTTAATCGTACGCTGTCCTTCAGTTCTTATGTGCTTAGTATGCCCAAGTGTGAGTCGCATTTTGCCTCTGTTCTGTTGGTCGAGGCACTTGACCCTATAATGTAAGTGTTGAAATTATTTTAGGTAAGCCTTCAATAATCAGCCTTATTGTTTCGCTCTTCCCAAAACACTGTGGAGTTTATATTTTCTTTACGAGATGATGCCAAGGAGTTGTTAGAACTTTGAGTCGTTTTGGTGAACTCAACTTGTGGTGTTCCCCAACATGGAAATTTTCTCTGTAATAATTGTAATAATTGTAATAATTGCACTGCATCATTACATGTACTTGTTATTATATTCAGATCTCTCAAGTTTTCCTATACACGCAAATATTAACACTTACTTCATTGGTATTTTGAAGTTCATAGGCCCGTTCCCAAAACCATAGAACATTATGTGGAGTTTGTCATGTTAAATTTATTTATAATCGATCTTCAAACTTTTTTAGTAAATCGACTCACATAAAATAAATGTTCTCTAACAGTAACACCCTTTGACCAATGGAAAAGTAATTTTCTCCTTCATATTTCTTCTCTTTAAATGCAAAATGGTATCCATTTTCTAGGAATATGGATTTATAAATGGAAAACGCATCCCCTCAGAGATCCAATAAATACATTTTATAATAACATAAGCACAGAAAATAAATGAAGTTTGGTTTTCTAGCTGTTGGAACTCAGAGGTACAGCTTGTGAAGACTTTTTAAGTATAGATCTTTGTATTGATTCATCATTTTCTAACAAGTAAGACATTAAGAAATGGGAGTTTTGAATGGTATTCTTACGCATTAATAATTTAATCGAGGGGCGGGGATAATGAAAATACCAAAGAACAGTTTGACACGTCGATGGAAGAGGGTTATCAATAATACTAAAGAGATTAACAAACCTGAGATCATTTTCTTTCATAGTTCTTGATAACACGACAAATAACACTTAGAAACGAATATGCGAACCGTTAGAAAATCCCAGGTGACCTCAACGTTGAGTTTAACAGAAAAAAACGCTTATGCTGATGTGATATCTTCAAACATTTACGCAAATCAGGAAGGGTTAACACCCTATTTCATTAAGCACGAAAGCATGAAAGAATATATTGACCTGAGTAGTAGTAGAAAAACACAGGAAAACCAGACTGACTGTAGATCACGAACGTGGATGATCTATGTCGAATGATTGTAGGGCTACTCGAGTTAGACGTGATTAGCAAGACAAACTAGCTAACGTCGAAGTCACACCCCGTGGTCAGCACCCTACGTGGACTACCCTGTTCACGTATCAAGGTACCATAGATGCTTTGAAGACTGTACAACACAGAAGACGTTATTACAAAAATATATTGGTGAAAGTAGATACTAGCGAAAGTAAGACCACTGCCGCATGGCCGAGTCCATGGCATACGATTAACTGATACGCCTTGGTTGTCCTTGACCTTCACTAGGATCGATGATCTGTTCGATATTCAATGACCCAACTGCCGGATGATTTGGCCAGGGATTAGTGACATTTCACTGGGCCTACATGACATTCAGAGGACCACATGGTTTGCAAAATTCCAGCTCGCTAAGAGATTAAATTTTGCAATGGCACGAAAAGGTCAGCGGAAAAACACAGGAAACGAGCCAAAGCTTGTGGGTGTATCCGAAAAGCTATTGCAAATACAATTTACCATTGAAATGGCATTGAATAGCAAGATGTCCTCGTTAGTGCAACACTGCTTAGCAAACCACACGAAAAATTTTTTATTCAACCATTTGAAAGCCACAGGTGTTAGTTTCGTGCAAACTTACCGTAACGTCCTTTCGCACGTCGTACTACATACCACTGTCAACGGGGTATCAACATCCCGGGAGTTGTTATTTGCTTTTCTTGCACTGTCCAGCCATCAAACAGAGGTTTTCAAAGGGAAAGAAGATACAATTATAACCAGAGACAAAAGTAATTTATGACCAAAAAATTGGAAAACTGTAAATCGTTAGGACCTAAACTACTAACAAATACAGTAGAAATAAAGTACTCAAAAGTACAGACTGTAAACTACATTGGGGACATAAACGATGTTTTTAGAGGATGAAAACACAACCAAAGTGAAAACAATAGTCTTGATACGTAATAAAGTATTAAAAAAGTAAAATTTGCTGAAGGGAGAAACTTTATACTGATCTTCTATTTATCAAAACGAAGCTAGCATTACACTAGTTTAGCCGATATGTACAAAAATGTATGGAAACACCTCCTTCTAAAGCTAAGAACCAAGTAATAACAGTCATCCAGCTTAAATCAACTGTTAGTCGTTTTAGTGCATCACGAAAGTCAGAGTACGTCAATAGAGCCAGTTTGAAGCTCGTTGCTGTGGTATATTTGTTCACCACAGTAATGTCTCTCCCTGACGTTGGGAGGATAGCTTCTGACACAACTTTCTTATTGAAAGTAATAGAAGAATATCTTGGCGGACCACCATGGACTCAGGAATATTCAAAAAATGATGTTAAAGTTTGGTCAAAAGGGTCGAAAAATGATCAAATCAAGACTATCAAGGCAACTGCCCTTTTCAAGGGAGTTTCAGGATCTGAGTTATTTGACTGTATCATGGATTCCGATTATCGAAAGGAGTGGGACAAGTCAATGATTGAAAGTTACGAACTGTGTCAAGTACACCCTCAAAGTGACATAGGATATTACTCTCGTATGTGGAATGCTTTTCATTGATCTGTTTTTAGTTCGTTCGCCTCCAGGGTTAAAAAACAGGGATTTCGTTCTTCAGAGAACATGGGAAAGGTTTGACTCGTATTATGTAATCGCCTGCCACTCTATATTTCATAAGGTATGTTCTTTTGTGACCTTTTGTATCCAATACACTTACTTAATCAACATCATCCTGTCTTTATTCGTTTAACTCACTATCTCGTTTTAAAGCGTTACTATGAATCAGATTAGGTGAAATACTACTTTTTAGTGAATACGCAAGTGAATCGCAACTATTAATTGATCTTTATCTATATTTGGAATGTGACAGTGGAGTTCAGAACACGCTTTCTGTCCCATTTATAACTGAACATTTGCTGATCTTAGCATCTAAAAAATCCAAAGAAACGTTACAAATCTTGATCGGTTTATCTGATGTGTTGTTTGTTCACAAAGAAGTATAGTTCTGTGTAAACTAAATAATAATGGTTAACTTTGAGTATAGAAATCTAGGAGTTACAAAAAGCTGGTAGACTTGGAATGTACTGTCATAAAATCAAGGCAGTCTAGTGGTAAGCAGTTTTAAATGAGAAAGTTTTTGGTTAATTTGCATAAGATACTATGAAACCAAAGAACTTTCCTGATTCTTCCGTATACTATGGGCCTCAGAAGTTGTACCGTCACTTTCACCTATATCATACTTGTAACTTTAAAACTCATAACTATCGTATATAAGCACCAAAAGACTCATTGTAGACTTCGCATTCCTATTAGTGTCTCGTGAAACTTGCTCAGTAAGAATTTAGGAAGCGTAAAGTACTTATTCACTCGAAATTAAAAATAATTTCCATAGACATAAAGAGTTCGTCATTTGTGTGTGGGCTGTGATACTGCCCGGGTGCCCAAACCGAAGCAGGTGGTTATCTTAGGGGGCCACTCCCCGAGCCTTTGACCTAAAGGTCTAACCCACAAGGCAGTGGAGCATCGTAAGGAGATGCAATCCCATGTTAGCCGGTGACCAACGATTGGTTCATACGCCATTTGTTCCCGCAGGATACTGAAGCCCATGTGCACCATTGGTTTGGAATCCGGTTAAAGCGCCGGACATTCGCTTTTCGTCCTCTCATTTTCGTAAACAACACCCCCGCCACGAGAAAGCAATGAGTAGGACTTCCCTGGCAGAGGCTGTATACGCGCGGCCATGTGAGAGTATTTCGAGAGGTAGAGCGGACTCTCCCCACTCTCAGCCGTACCAGGGCATTCGGGGGGCAAACGTGTGGGCGAAAACTGAAAGCCAGTCGAATGTCGTCCCAGAGAATTCCACGTCGTGCATTATTTGCCGACTCTGGGACTGGTTGGAAGAAGCAGAGAGGTGGTCAGTGCATGACATGGTGTCGTGGCATGAAAGAAAGCTGCAAAGGACTGGCTTCTGTTGGTCCTTCACCACTCCCTGGTTGGGGTCCGAGAGATGGTGCTACACAGTGGCTAGAGACGTTATCAGATATGGCTCAAAATAGAAGCCAGTGGCGATCCTGCTGTAACCTTCTTTTACTTTCTTCATAAAAAGTGGTTGTGTCTCCCTTACCTGAAAGATTTGTTCTGATTGTATCTCGTTACAACCACACTACCTTACACCAATCTCTTCGTTATTGTTCTCCTTTTGCGCTCCTTAGTTTTTTTTTCTATTTCTCTTCGCATTCTCATTGTTTTGTGTGGCGCATATATATTGGCGCTCTCTTGTACCAATATTTATGTGTTCAAATAAATAAAATAAATAAGTTAAAAATAAACGCTGAATGTTTTCAGTAAATCAAAGTTAATGAAAAAGGACTCTCCGTCTACCTGTTTTGTTTGTCTTCAATGCTGACGAACTCTGAGCCATCTGAGGCTTTAATTTATAACTAATTCACCCCAATACCTTGCGAAGTCATCTAATTTCTTTCTCAATAAGCAATGTGTTTGAGAATTTTCAACGTTTTGTAATCTTAAAGTGACCACGTAGATGTAATTCTACTTAATAATACACATACTTGAATAGACAGTTGATTTTAATCAGGGAATTGACATATCTGTATTGGCATAAATAATAACTTCTTACAACTTTATCATGCAAGGAAGATATTAAGAGCCAGGAAGCTAGAGTTGACTGTTTTTGTATTGATACCAATTAAACTATTATGTGAATTTAAAGACCATTTGGTAGTAGTAATTTCTAATTATGACGATAATTATTGGAGTCCTCAATGATTTCCCCTTCCTGTTATTAGAATTTGTTGAAAGTCAACCTTAACACCCTCGTATTCCATTGTATTTCAACTTTACTTTATCAAAATTTTAAAAAAATCTTGTTTCAAAAAAGTTTGTTCATCTATAAAAGTGGACATATCTGTATCAAATCTCTATAGTTATAGAACACTTTTAGATATTCTATGCTGTTAGTTTTCACATCATAATTATATGGAGTTATTAATCTTCTTCGTCTTTAGCTTTTTTATCATTATTTGACATCATAGTGTTTTACTGTCAACATCAGTGAATCTTCAAGTCTAAAAAGTAGTATCAAATATCCTGATTGAATGTATATCACATAGAAATTACTTACTTACTTACTTGCGCCTGTTACTCCTCGTGAAGGAGCATAGGCCGCTCACCAGCATTCTCCATCCAACCCTGTCCTGGGCAATCCTTTCTAGCTCCGTCCAGTTGTAATTCATCGTTTTCATATCTGCTTCTATTATCCGACGCAATGTGTTCTTTGGCCTTCCTCTTTTTCGCTTCCCTTCAGGATTCCAAGTTAGGGCTTGCCTCGTGATGCAGTTTGACGATTTGCGTAATGTATGTCCTATCCATTTCCATCGTCTTTTCCTAATTTCTTCTTCAGCTGGAAGTTGGTTTGTTCTCTCCCACAGAAGGCTGTTGGTGATGGTATCCGGCCAATGGATGTTGAGTATCTTGCGAAGACAGCTATTTATAAATACTTGTACTTTCTTGATTGTGGTTGTTGTAGTTCTCCAAGTTTCAGCTCCATACAGTAGAACTGCCTTGACGTTCGTATTGAAGATTCTCACTTTGATATTGGTTGAAAGTTGTTTTGAGTTCCATATGTTCTTCAACTGTAGGAATGCGACCCTTGCTTTGCCAATCCTCGCCATTACGTCTGCATCTGAGCCTCCTTGTTCATCGATGATGCTTCCCAGATATGTGAAGGATTCTACATCTTCCAGAGTTTCGCCATCAAGTGTGATTGGATTGCTGTTCTCCGCTTTGAATTTGAGGACCTTAGTTTTCCCTTTGTGTATGCTGAGGCCTACTGATGCAGAGACTGCTGCTACATTGGCTGTCTTCATCTGCATCTGTTCGTGTGTACGTGATAGGAGGGCTAGGTTATCTGCGAAGTCCAAATCGTCTAATTGATTCTGAGCTGTCCATTGTATTCCGTGTTTTCCTTCAGATGTTGAGGTCTTCATAATCCAGTCGACCACTAGAAGAAAGAGGAAGGGAGAGAGTAAACAGCCTTGTCTGACTCCGGTCCTTACTTGGAATGCATCTGTCAGCTGTCCACCATGCACTACTTTGCACTGTAGTCCGTCGTATGAGTTCCGGATAATATTGAAAATCTTCTCAGGAATTCCGTAGTGTCGAAGAAGTTTCCATAACGTCCTCCTGTCTACACTGTCGAATGCCTTTTCATAATCAATGAAGTTGATGTATAGTGATGAGTTCCACTCAACTGATTGTTCGACGATGATCCGTAGTGTTGCAATTTGGTCTGTGCACGACCGATCCTTACGGAATCCAGCTTGTTGATCTCGAAGTTGGGCGTCTACTGCATCCTTCATCCGGTTCAGCAACAATCTGTTGAAGACTTTCCCTGGTATTGACAGTAGTGTTATGCCTCTGTAGTTTTCACATTTGCTCAGATCTCCTTTCTTTGGAATCTTGACGAGGTGTCCTTCTTTCCAGTCCATTGGCACTTGTTCCTCCTCCCAAATCTTTTTGAATAGAAGATAAAGCATGCTTGTGGTTGCTTCGATGTCTGATTTCAGTGCTTCAGCTGGTATGTTGTCGGGTCCTGCTGCTTTCCCGTTCTTGATTTGTCTGACGGCCATTCTAATTTCTTCCGTAGTTGGTGGATCGACATCTATAGGAAGATCTGTATGTGCTGCTTCGATGTCCGGTGGATTCATTGGAGCCGGCCTATTCAGGAGTTCCTCGAAGTATTCTACCCATCTGTTACGTTGTTGTTGAATTTCGGTGATTGGCTTACCTTCTTTGTCTTTGACCGGCCTCTCTGGTTTACTGTATTTCCCTGATAGTTTCTTCGTTGTATCGTAAAGCTGTTTCATATTTCCTTCTCTACCAGCTTTTTCTGCCGTCGTTGCTAGTTCTTCCACGTATTTCTTCTTGTCGGCTCTAATGCTCCTCTTCCCTTGTTTGTTTGCTTCTATGTATTCAGCATGTGCTTGGACTTTCTCTGCTCGTGTTCGGCTGTTGTTTATTGCTGCCTTCTTGTTCTTCCTTTCTTTGATCTTGTCCACTGTTTCTGTAGAGATCCATTCCTTATGATGGTATTTCTTTAGACCGAGAACCTCTTGACACGTTGAAGTTAATGCTTCCTTGATGCCTTTCCAGTTGTCCTCCATAGTAGTTTCTTCTTTCAGTAGATCTCGTAAGGCTTGGAACCTGTTGTTGAGAGCTATCTTGAATTCATTGAGTTTGTTAGTATCTCGAAGGAAGGCTGTATTGAACCTTTGTATTGCTGTTTGTCCACCTGTCCAGTTCTTTTTTAGCTTCAGTTTCAAATTGGCTACAACTAGATGGTGATCTGAAGCTACGTCAGCACCTCTCCTGGTTCTCACATCTTCCATTGTCCTTCGGAATTTTTTGTTGATGCAAATATGATCTATTTGGTTCTCTGTAGTGTGGTCCGGTGAGATCCATGTAGCCTTGTGTATACGCTTGTGTGGAAATATTGTGCCTCCTATGACCAATTTGTTGAATGCACATAGATTTGCGAATCTTTCTCCATTTTCGTTTCTTTCTCCCAGTCCATGTCGTCCCATAATATCTTCATATCCAGTGTTGTCTATTCCGACTTTGGCATTTAGATCTCCCATTAGAATGGTGAGGTCCTTTCTTGGGCATTTCTCTATCACTGACTGCAGCCGCTCGTAGAACTGATCTTTAATGTCGTCGTTGCTATCATTGGTGGGTGCATAACATTGGATAATATTCATTAAGATCCCCTCCTTCTTTATTTTGAATGATGCTTTGATGATTCTGGATCCGTGAGATTCCCATCCTACAAGTGCATTTCGTGCTACTTTGGACAGCATAAGAGCGACTCCCTGAGTGTGTGGAGCATTGTCCTCTTCGTGACCGGAGTATAGCAGCATCTCTCCCGTAGCTAGCCTTTTCTGTCCAGCTTGGGTCCAGTGGGTTTCGCTGATTCCCAGTACAGCCAAGTTGTATCTCCTCATTTCCATTGATATTTGACTGGTCTTCCCGGTTTCCCACATTGTTCGAACGTTCCATGTACCTATAAAAATTTTTGCTCTGGTTGTTAGAAGGGGCATCGGCCTCGTGGCTTCCGAAGGAATTCGGCTTTCACCATGAAGCGTCATAATTCTTCTAAATGAAAACCTTCTAACTCCCAGGGCAGAGTTAAAATGGTTTGGATTATTTTTTCTGGTAAGCGTTTTTTTAGCGAGTTAGTTTTCTACGGGATGGGGACGCTAACCCTAGGCCCAACCCTCCTTCTTTACCCGGGCTTGGGACCGGCAGCAACCCTATAAGAGCTACAGGCGGAGTTATATCACATAGAAAGCATACTGTATAATAGTTCTCCCCGTGCTAAAAGATGCTCATTAAAGCCAGGTTTTTGTAGATTGCTTGTATTGTGCTATGGAGATTTCTGAAGCCTACTGCTTGCATGATAGGGCAATGAATTATGTTTTCAAACATTGGATACTGAAATCTAAATAATAAAAACAGATCATTTTGTGTGGCTATTAACTTGTACTGGCTGTGGTGGCCAGTACAGACAAAAGACACGCAACGTCTCTTGTTTCGCTAAAGCATTAGAAATTTGTTATGTGGTCTTCGCCAAACTACTGCTTATTTTCTGTACTCCAAAATCATTCATTCACTCAATTTGCTTAACTTACGTAAACTCTTTAAATCTTGTTCCATTATTGCGTAACCCATGAATTTCTAACTTTTAAACGATTACCATCTTATTTCTCTAAATTTTTTTATATCTACTTTCTAGTGACTTGAACTTTTTTATGAAATTCCTTCATAACTACAATCATAAGATCTATCCTATTCTGTTTCCGGACTTCGTTTAATTACTGCGTAATACCCCCCCTCCTGTTTTTAAATTCCATTTTCAAATGACCTCACATTTGTTCACGTATCTATATGTATAGTTATCATTGTTAATCTTTAATAATCTAGCCATTTTCCGTCACCAGTGTGAATTGTTTCACATTAGATGTTATATCAGTGTTTGTAAGCAGGTGATGAGAAACCACAAAACATATGGAATTTATATTATTTTGCCTTGATTGTTGTTTTGGCTTTATTCAAATGTCAGAATATAGGTATAGATAAAGAACCGATAAATCAACACTATTACATTCTGTCACAATTGATTGATCACTGGGTGGTGATCACTGTCATGCTTGTCTAGTCCTTATTAGTGCAGATCGAATGCTATCGATCATGTTGCAATGTGGCCAACAGTCTAGGTGACTCGACACTGCGGGCACTATGTATTGAGATTTAGATGGTGGTTGGAGGTAGTCAACAGGAAACCCTGGACCCGGGTTTCGTGCTACTTGGCATTCGTCAGCAAGGTGTACCTGTAATGCTGAAGGAACTGATGCTCCCTGGTGGATTCGACCCCGTGTCACCCAGCTTCACAGTCAGAGACGTTCCCACTGAGCTATCCGAGCCGTGACTAACCTCCTGTAGGACTGAGATGTAATCACAATTGATTGGCTCGGATAGCTCAGTGGTAATGTCTCTGATTGTGAATCTGGGTGACACGGGATAGAATCCATCAGGGTACATCAGTTCCCTCAAGATTACAGGTACACCTTGCTGATGAGTGCCAAGTAGCACGAAACCCGGGTCCAGGGTTTCCTGTTGACTACTTCCAACCACCATCTAAATCTCAACTATTACATTCTATTTCATACTATATTGTCTAATGTCTCCAAATGTCAACCATAACTATCACCAAAAATAAATAAGTTTAAACTTGAATTAATTTTGATTTGGTTATTTATTCTCAGAAGAAATGGCTTGCATTAAGTCACGAAACGTCAGAAAATCTAATTTTTTTACTCATTGGAATATTACTTTTATTTATAACAATCTACCTAATGCTCAATTTATTCGAAATTATCAAGTCAAACCTTGGTAATGATACCTATCATCATAACGTTTATACCCCCTCTCTCCCTTCAACACGGCTTCAAACCAACAATCATTGACTGCCATAGTTTGCCATAGTTGCTCCCAACTACAAGTTTTAGTTGGAACTCGTCCACACTAATAATCCCTAATCATTAATGAGTAACTATGAAATTTTGTAGACTGATAAGCCTAAAGTTTCTAGAAATAATCTTAATTATTATCATTTATATTTCTTTTCCTTTTTTTAATGAACTAAATTATTATATTCTGTTGTTCATATTGATTTTCAAGGGAATTCCTGTTCGAAAACAGTGTATCCGAGCATTAACCCATATGAATGCATATATTATTCGTCTACTTGGTACAAATTCCTGTGAAATGACTTATGTCACCAGCTGTGATTTTCGTGGTTAGTATACAGTGTTTTTCTTTAAATAGTTGTTTAATTTTGTATTCAGAAAAAAGATCAGTGCTTTTAATTAAACAAAAGGTCACAATAGATAAATAAACTTGGGTACGCTTGCCAGGTCTTGTATCAATGATGGTCTGATATATATAAGCTTTGTTTTATTGCATATATATATATACATATTCTGAATTCTTGGCCAGTTCTTTAGTATTTATTGTGACAAATTGTTTTATTTGTCACCATCCAATTTCAACTATATCGTCAGTCAGATTCTGTAAACATCTCTGAAGCATATCGTAATAGTGTAAGTCTGTTATCTGGATAAAGATTTTCTGACTTTGAGTACACTGAAAAAATTGTCTTCCTGTGGAATAACACACAAGGTGTATGTGTCACACTCAATCAATTGACAATTAATGTTTGCAGGTACGATATGTACCTTACCAACTTTCAAATGTATGGTTCTTGTACACAACTGGCGGTAAGCTGTATCTGCTCTCACTTTTTGTGGTGAGCCGCTAAAAGTTGTCAAAAGCTCGTACCTCTCGATAGTTATATCAGTGTTGATGGTGGTATTACGGAGGAAATCAGCTTAGGTATATTGAACTTCAGAGTGGCGTATGCCAGTTTGGCATATTTGACGTCACTAATATTAATCTGGTTGCAACAGGCGGGTTCTCCAATACGTCGATGAGAGCGGTTCCGCCGCAAGCTTGTGTAACTCGTGAACTTGGTATCTTGATAAGGTTTCTTTCTTCCCAGTCCATCGGAACTTGTTCTTCTTCCCAACTCTTCCTGGATAGGATGTGAAGCATGTTTGCAGTTGCTTGTATACCCGACTACAGTGCTTCGGCTTGTATATTGTCAGGTCCTGCAACTTTCCCGCTCTTGATTTGTCTGATGACAATCTTGATCTTTTCGATCGTTGGTGGAGTGACATCTATAGGAAGGTCTGTGTATGCTGCTTCGATGTCTGGTGGGTTCAGTGAAGCTGGCCCTTTCAAGAGTTTTTCTAAGTGTTCTACACATCTGTCCTTCTGTCCTTGAATCTCGGTGATTGGCCTGCTTTCTTTGTCTTTGACTGGTCTTTCTGGCTTACTATATTTTCTTACTAGTTTCTTCATTGTGTCATATAGTTGTTTCATATTTCCTTCTCTTGCAGGTTTTTTCGCCGTTGTTGCTAGTTCTTCCACGTTCTAATGCTCTTTTTTCACTTGCTTGTTTGCTTCTGTGTACTCGGCTTGTGCTTGAACTTTCTCTGCTCGTGTTCGGCTGTTGTTGATTGCTGTCTTCTTGTTCTTCCTTTCTTTGATCTTGTCCAGTGTTTCTATAGAGATCCATTGCTTTATGATGGTGTTCGCTATCATTGGATAACATCGGTTGTGATTCCCTTCTTTGTTTTGAAGGGTGCTTTGACGATCATAGATCCATGAGATTCCCATCCATGTCATGGATCTTCAGACTGCATCAGAGCAACTCACTGAGTCTGTGGAGCATTTTCCTCTTCGTGACCGGAATACAGCAGCATCTCTCCCGGGTTGTGTCCAATGGGCTTCACTGATTCCGAGTACTTCCAAGTAGTATCTCCTCATTTCCGTTGCTATTTGACTGGTCCTTCCAGTCTCCCACCTTGTTCGGATATTCCATGTGCCTATAAAAATTGTTGCCTGGCTGTTATAAGATCATCATCTTTGTGACTTTCGAAGAATTTCGGCTTTCATCATGAGGCGTCATAATTCTTCACTCAACCCTCATAGCAGAGCTTAAATGGTTTAATTTGTTCAATCTGGTTAGCGTTTTTTTTCTACGGGATGGGCTTGCCGACCCGTGCCCAACCCTTCTCCTTTACCCGATCTTGTGACCGGCAGTAACACTAGAAGAGCTATAGGCAGGGTTTTATTAATTGTACTACCCTTTTATTTTCACGATATTATCGATTTATTTCTTGGGTTTCGTTCTGGTTCATTATTGTAGACAAAATAATAAAACTGCTCTTCCGAAAGACTGATCTCTGTGTTACTGCACGTGTCATTAATTTCATAATGAAAGTGACAAAAATATATTTCATGGATTTATGATTATTAGTTTTCATGACATATATAATTGTTCTAATTATTCTTGAATTACCAACATCTTAAAAGTGTTTTCTGCATTTATTCAGTACCCATAGTCTTCCAAAATAAAGTATAATCTGTTGTACATGGATGTTTATCGAAACACTCAGAAAATAATTCATAACAAGCCACATTTATTCATTTATTTATTTGAACACATAAATATTGGTGCAAAGGGGCACCGAATACATATGCGCCACACAAATCTCATTTCATTTGTGTGAGGTCTGTGATACTGCCTGGGTGCTCATACCGAACCAAGTGGTTTTCTTAGGAGGCCACACCCAGAGCTTTCGACCTAAAATTCTGATCCACAAGTCAATGGAGCAACATCAGGAGATGCAGTCTCGTGGTAGCCAGTGACCAACGGTCGGTTTATACGTCATTTGTTCCCTCAGGGTGCTGGAGCCCATGTGCACGACTGGTTTTCCAACTCCCCTAGGTGGACTCTCCGTGTCCACCAACCCGGTTAAAGCGCCGGACATCCGCTTTTCGTCCTCTCAATTTCGTATACAACATCCTCGCCACGAGAAGTCAGTGAGTAGGACTTTTCTGGCAGAGGCTATATACGCATGCCAATGTGAGAGCATTTCGAGAATGAGAACGGATTCCTTACTCTTGGCCGTACCAGGGCATTTGGGGGCTATTATCTTGTAATTGAAAGTTTATTCAACAATTGGTTTCTTCTCAACTTTAATACTGATACCCATTCCGTTTTGATATTTTGAAGTTGATAACTTGAATGAGTTATTGATTAAATTGAACTAAAGATCTTTTCAGAGGATTCGGTATACTGAAATTTGTTGGCATAATTACACTATGAGTTTGATTGTTATTTCTAGGCTTATTTCAGCAAAAAATGACTTGTTTAATTATTTTTTTCTCTCTGCTATTTGCTTGTGGAGGTATTCATCAAATTTTGTTTAGATCCATGTGCTTCATTATTTTTGTTTAAAAGAATATATCAAGCCACTAGGCGCTTAGTATCGGAAAATTGTTCAAGCAGATTCACGATGTAATCTTAACACTCAGGACAAGTAAAGTGAAATGAGGAGGAGAACGTTGAGACGAGGAGAGTTATTAAGTGTCGATTCGTATCGCCTAATATCATGGCATTGTACTAAAATCAGTAACTTTGTAATTAAAGCGATTTTAAATTTCGGGCCGTAGTTCTCAAGTTTGAGAGCTTCTTCTCTGGTGCTCATATTGCATTAGTTTTAAGTGGTACAGATTAGCGTTTGATGAAAGTCCTACGGAATCGAATTATAAAACATAATATTAGATAAGTAGTCTACTTCACTTTATCATGTTTGAAATCGAACTAGTTGTTGAGTTAGAATGCATACCCTATGTATTTGATCTTTGTCTTATAAGACTATAAAGTTGGTTTATCCGGACCTGAGTCACCTGATGATCAGGTTCGAAACTTTGTTTGACTGAAGCGATTGGCGGTACATGTTCCACGTGTCCAAACACTATGAGCAACGACAGCAGTCATATTGCTCATTATCAACCATATTTATTCTAATGATAGGGAATGAAGTACTTGAGCGTACCGACCGCTACAAACTATATTAAGAATTTCATCAGTTCTGATGGTCTAGTGTCTGACGAAATCTCGGCACGGATTGAAAGAACTTACCACCGAGTAAGCAATTAATGGGTCAGCAATAGGGCACTAGGTAAAGATGGCAAATCAGTTGATGGGGTAGTGAATCCTCATCATCAACTGAGTTGGTTTGGATATGTGTTATGTGTCCCAACCACCATCTACCTCGATAGGCTATGTCTGGTGTAGTGGTAACTCGGGAGAAAAGTAGAGCGGCCAAACCGAGGCATTGCACCAGTCCATGAAGTCACTGACTATTGTAATGACCCATGTTAACAGGTGTATGCATTGGGGTCTGCATGATTACCGTAATGAATGGTTTAAAACTTTGAATGAGATGACTCAAAACTTTTTGCAATGATGCAGGGGTATTCATTCTTTTTCCTCCCTCAGGTTTTAAGATTCTGAATTCCTCATAACCTTTTTAATTCACTAATTTATATTCTCTTGAATCGTATCTTCGATGCTTAGCCTCCTATATTACCACTAATATTGTTACTTCCCCTAATATTCTGGAATTCGGCCTAGCAATTTCATCTCTCTGTACTAATGGATTGTGGCAATTGGAATCGATGTACATAAGTACTAGGTTCTACTTTGCGTTCGATTGAATGACTGATGTTTATTTTATATACAAAGTCTTAATTGAGTATTATCCTTATTTAGTTAATCATATCGAAGAATCATTGAATTTCCTGAGGTTGTTAATAGGTCTTACTTACAATTCTCATTATACAGTCTAAATTCCTATCAAAATTAATGTATTAATTCTTAGATGCCTTAATCCAATCCTACATGTGCTCCATAATGCGATTAACTTCAGGCTTTGTTTGACACATTAGCATCTCTACAAATTATTCGTCTATATATATTTTCAATGTGTTGTCTACCCTAACCCCTTTCATAAGCATGTTTATATCGGTTTTTGTTTTCTAGGTAAACTACCCATATGGGTAATTAACAAGGCTACACAGTTGATGGCTCCTCGAGCAATTCAAATATTGTACAAAGCATGCACTAAATATAATACCTAGAAAAAATCAAATAATCCTGATTATAAACCATGGTTATATCCTGGTCAAACCAATCTACCATTGTTATGTTGGGATGATTTGGATCAGACAGCCAATTTAGGACCTACTGATGACGGTGGTGATGTTACACCATTACCATCTGATGAACCTGTTCTATTGGATAGAAATGGCAATTATAATAGTCGAGAAGAACAAGGAGATGTAGAAGAAGTAGTAGAATTCGATTCAGTACCTGTAGAGGATCAAATACAATCATGTGTCACGGCAACTTCCATTGCTACTGTATCGGATTCTAGATAAATTGATTGTATAGACAGTCATTCACTTGTTTGTTTGTCAGTTTGTTGGTAATTGAAAAAAAAATCATCTCAATTGTTCAGGTGAATAGGTGCACAAATTCATTTTGAATATGGCATGATTTTATGATAGATTGAACTTATTACGGTCTACGGGTTTTTATGATCACGTTTGTTTTAATGAGATGGTTGGTGATGATGTTAACCAGTTACCAGCTTTATTTTATTTTATTTTCTTCAAACTAAACATGAGGAGGAGGAGGAGGAAACAACGGTTTTTTCCTGGGGGATTGTTTGTTTGTTTAGGTGTGTATCTTCTATCCTAATTGACATGTTGTACACACTAATTACTTCCTGTTGTATAGAAAGAAAATTGGTTTATTTCTTCTAATATTCTTTTTTGTAAAAAAAATGTAAAAGAAAACAGTTTATTAATTACATTTTGAACAATACACATTATGTATTTCTCATTTGTTAGTATTACAAGAACAGAGAGAGATGAGGGGGGAGAAGAGAAGGGAAGTTGTGGAAAATTTATGCCAAAACTAGACTTCTCTTTTCTTCACTTTTGTGCTCGAGACCTTCTTTCCCTGTGAACTTTGTAATAAGTTGTGTGTATGTGTGTGCACATATTTCTGTGCCGATATTATAAATATTTCACGCATGCTGGATATTATCCACAAACTATATTTTTGTATGTTCTTTCATAGGGGGAAATTCTTGTAAAAGAATATATATAAATATATGTATTTTCCCCAGAAATATATATATATATATATTTCACTGATACGTTTTCATTTGATTGTATGTTTTCTGGTGTGTTTTAATTTTCTTCTTTCAACCTTTTGTATATTGTATTTTATGTTTGCCAACAACAGTGATAATCTAGTAATTGGTACTTGTCATAAGTTGTTCATTTGATTGTGATTATCCTAAAGTGACTTAACTAGTCCAATTCCAGTTTGTAAACTAAGAATCTTGTATTGCTGTTTAAACCTGATGCTGGCTATTTCATACAATTGATAGGTTTCCATTTTACTATCGAGAGATATACTGTAATTTGATCCGATCCGCAAATTTTTTTTTAAGTCTGTATTGATCTACATGCTTAACCATTGGTGAATATATGACTGACAACGTAATCACCCCATAAATTAGTATGGGGGTTATGGAGTATATCTCATTTTATCGGTTAGACTAAACTCGATGATCTTTCTGTTACCATGGTAGTTGAACGTTAAATTATGTTTCTATTATATATTCTGTAAATGAACATATCAATTCGTTTCGTAAAATGATTCACATTTTGATGACCAATTATCCTGCTTTTTCGTGTCCATTCATTGAGAACTCACGTCGATTATTAGTTAGATTAGTAAGAAATTATCACTAAACTACCATAGAATTATACCAATTAGGTTGGATGATAGATCGGTCGTACAAATGTCCTATAATGCATACAATCGACTTGTTCGTTATCACAATGCTTTAATAAAACAATCAATCAAAGCAGTTTTGTGTGCGTTAATAATGTGAACTGTATAAGTAATCATTTTCATGATAAATATACTTGATTACTATAGTGACAGGTGTGTAGTACCTGCAGTGGATAAGAATGAAATAGAGATAGGATGATCAAAAATAATATTTTATCAGTGAATTGATTGAAGTTAGATATTAACTCTGTCATATGTCTGCTCAGTGGTTTAGAAGTTAAGGGTTAGCACAGGAAACCGAAGGTCCTGGATTCGACTCTTGCGATTGGAGTTATGGATACACATTGCTTAGGAGATTCATATAGGGACGAAACGACCGTTCACTGCTTCCAGGTTTTCAATGGTGGTCTAAGTTAAATCAGTTCATGAATTCGATAAAATATTTTATAATTGAAAACATTAAGAATATCATGAAGATAATCAATCAGTCAAAGTTACCTAATGCTAAAGTACGAAGTGTATGAATAATTAGAGCACTAATGTATGGCTTTATATTCTAGACATTTTAAGATGTAAGGAGACCCACGAGAAATATGGGTCCCGTGTAGAACTAACTGGGTTAAAAAGGGTGAGAGTAAACTCCACTCTTGTTCTCACATTTGATCTAGCACCTGACAACCAACCAAAATAAAGCAAGACTTATTATTTACACCATCGTAATCTATGATAGAGGGCATGTTTCATTCTTTGACATTTTTGCTGGCTTACATGAATAATGTAAAGTTTTCTACAACAAAATTACCACTCAATCATGATATGGACGTGTCAAATGTAGCACAGTCAGTTGTGATGGGAGAAAAATCACAACATAGCAGAACTCATACTTATGCCTGTTACCCCTCGTGGAGGAGGATAGGCCGCTCACCAGCAGAATTCATACCTTCAATTAATTCTATAATAGAAAGTAGTCTAAAATACTTAAAACCAAGTGACTAAACGTAGTCATAATTACTGACGATGATATACTTAAATGATATGACAACACGGTGTTCATCGCCAACCATTCAAAGTACATTAATCAGTGATTTAATTTTGATAAAAAAACCTAAACTGAAGCTTTTGTTTATTGTAACAAGAATAAGTAAAATCAATTTGTAATCTCATGACACTTAATAATCGTTTTAAGGATTAAAGTATAGAATTCAAATAAAGAAGATTAGGCTACTACTGCCGATGATGTTTACAACATAGTCTTCAACAAATAGTTCATATAGGGCTATGCTGTTGGGAAATATATTTTATCAAATTTGGAATGTTGGGATAGAATTCATTGGAAAGCAAACAGCTAATAGTCAGTCAGTCAGCTACAACGTAGGACCAGGCACATATGTGCATCGGTCCAGGTTGCCATACCGCATCAGCACAACAAGATGGACACCGGATTCATGAAAGTAGTTAATTCAGAGGTGGTAATATATAAAAAGATTGCAATAAGGATATAGTACAAGAAGAAGAAATTGGTTCGTAGAAAGAAAGATATGAAGCGATTTTAATCTCCTAGTTTAAGGAAAGACAGGGAGTGTATACACCGACGCCATTGTGATCGATTCTGAGCCATGTCACCAAGAGTCTCCAACCATTGGCTACGAAAGTCACGCGGACCCCAACCAAGTAGTCTGCATCTACCAACATGGCTCAGACCACAAGTTAGTGACTTTGAGCACTGATGCCACGATTGGTTTGGCCGCCCCTAACTTTCTTCCAACCATACCGAACACCGGTTAGCATTGCACGTCGTGGTAATCGGTGTCCGGGCATACGTAACACGTGGCCCAACCATCTCAGTCGATGAAGATTCACAACCTCATCAACTGATATACCATCATTCCCTAATACCCTTCGTCTAACCTCACTATTACTTACCCGGTGATCCCAGCAGACGCCAGCAATATTTCTAAGGCATCTGTGGTCAAATACTAATAGCTTACGAGTGTCTTCTACTCTTAATGGCCATGTTGCGCTGCCGTAAATTAAAACAGAACGGACTGCCGCGCAGTATACCCGTCCTTTTATTGATAGACGGATATCTCGCCTTCGCCATAGGTGACTTAAGTTGGCAAAAGCCAATCGAGCTTTTCGAATCCGTGCTGAGATTTCGTCAGACACCAACCCATTAGGGCTGATCAGACTTCCAAGATAAGTGAAGTTGTCAACAGCTAATAACTATATTCAATGAAACAACTAAGCTAGTCAATGAAAATTAACTTAATAACCATAGTAGTTGGGTTTAATTTCGTTATCTTACTTTCAATCACTGATAGATTAACTTAGATGTCATTTTACTACGATCATTCTGTTTAATACGAATATCCAAAAAAAAGATAAACAGAAAAGAAAACATGGACCCTTAACTCAATCAATAAACACCAAAAAACAATATATTTACATTTAATGACAAGACTAATTTAACGATGTACTTGAAATGAGTCACAATAGTCAAGTTTCAAATGTGTTACCATGTGCTTTCTTTCAATTTGCTTCAATAATAACAAAAAAAGTAATGTATTTATTATCAGAAAGGGGTTTTGTGGAGATTGTAGTAATTTAATAGTTGATTCCATGAGTTAATTAGAGCTATACCATCATGGAAAACATGGAACCACTGAACGGCTGCTTTATCCTAGTATGCGACTCTTCAACAGTGCGCATCCACGACCCGGGATTCGAACCCAGGACTTTTGATCTCGCGCGCATCGGCATCCAACAGTGATAATGGTCTTAAGGTTAAGTGTTCACGTATGAGACCGATAGATCCTGGTTTCTAATCCTGATTGTATGATCATGGATGCGCAATGCTGAGGAATCTCATACTAAGAAAAAACAGCCATCCATTGCTACTAGGTTTTCCATGATAGTCTAGCTTCAATTGACTCACGAATCCAACTATTAAACTGTATTTATTTATTGTTTAGTGTTTTTTCTTTCTTTCTTTCTTTTCTCAAGTTCCAACTGTACAACTTTATTTGCTTTTAATAAATAATTCCAATTATTATTGAATCCAAATTATATTGATTAAACCAACATGGAATCATATGATTTGAGACATTTAGTGTAAAACAAGTAGTTTTTTACACCACAAATTTATATTGTTCATTTGTGTTTGTTTTATATATAAAACTTAATTCTTTTTTTTAAGTTTCTTCTTTGTATATTAACCATAGATACTTTATCATGATCTCAACATACACTAAGGGAAAAGCAAGACTCTCCGATACAACACAACATGCAACAATCGAATCACACTTAACGGAGAAGATTTGGAAGATCTAAAAACCATTACATATCTGGTCAGTATCATTGATGAACACTGTGGATATGATGCAGGTGTGAAGGCGCGGATCGGCAAAGCAAGAGGAGCACATTTACAAGTGAAGAACATCTGAAACTCAAACAACTATCAAACAACACCAAAGTCATAATTTTCAATGCAAATGTCAAGACGGTTCTACTGTATGGGGCAGAAACCTGGAGAACTACAAAAGCCATCATCCAGAAGATACAAGTGTTT